AATGCCGAGGTGGAAAAATTGTTACAGGCTGATTTCATAAGGGAAGTCACATACACGACTTGGCTAGCAAACGTAGTTCTGGTCAAAAAGTCGAACGGAAAGTGGAGAATGTGTACCGACTACATCGACCTCAATAAAGCCTGCCCCAAGGACACCTATCCACTCCCTTGCATCGACCGACTTGTCGACGGAGCGTCTGGGCATTCTGTATTCAGCTTTCTTGACGCCTATTCCGGCTACAACCAGATAAGGATGCACCCGTCTGACGAGGAGAAAACGGCGTTCATCACCGAGAACGCCAACTTTTGTTACCGAGTCATGCCATTTGGACTGAAGAACGCCGGGGCGACCTATCAGAGGTTAATGGATAAAGTGTTCCAGGAGCAAATCGGTCGAAACATCGAGATTTATGTGGACGATATGGTGGTCAAGTCCAATTCTATCGCCGAGCACATATCAAACCTAGCCAAAATCTTCGGCGCACTTCGCAAGCACAACATGAGGCTCAACCCCGAGAAGTGCACCTTCGGGGTAAAGGGAGGCAAATTCCTAGGTTTCATGCTATCAGTAAGAGGCATAGAAGCAAACCGAGACAAATGCCAGGCCGTGATAGACATGCGAAGCCCGAGCAATCTCAAGGAATTGCAACGTCTTTCAGGAAGATTAGTCGCCTTATCCCGATTCGTCCCGCGCCTAGGTGACAAGATTAGCCCAATGAAGAAACTCTTGCGGAAGGCCTCGGCCTTCTCGTGGAATGAATCATGCGAAGAGGCCTTCGAGGCGCTGAAAGCAACCTTGGCGACGCTGCTGATCCTAATAAGACCTGATCCCTCGAGCCCACTCTTACTGTACTTGGTCGTATCTTCCGAGGCGATCAGCTCGGTCCTGGTGCAAGAAAAGGAAGGCACCCAAGCTCCCATATATTTTGTCAGCTGACTCCTACAAGATTCTGAGACCCGGTACCAATTGATAGAAAAGGTTGCGCTCGGATTAGTGCACACATCACGACGCTTGCGGCACTACTTCCAAAGCCACCGGGTAGTTGTACACACTGACTGGCCGATCTCGAAGGTCCTGGGCAAGCCCGAGCTCGCCGGGAGAATGATGGCCTGGTTGGTGGAGCTCTCGCAATTCGACATAACCTTCAAACCGAGAGGACCGATCAAAGCTCAGTGCCTGGTCGATTTTGTGAACGAGCTCCACCCCTACGGTCATTTCGAGGAGCAATGGTGGACCCTCCATGTGGATGGTTCGTCAAATTGCCGAGGAAGCGGAGCAAGTGTAATTCTGGAGGGACCCAAAGGGATAGTTTTGGAACAATCCCTCCGCTTTCGGTTCAAGGCTTCCAACAACCAAGCCGAGTATGAAGCCTTACTGGCCAGACTGAGACTAGCCGAAGACATGGGAGCCTCGAGAGTCAAATGTTTGACCGACTCCAAAGTTATGGCCGAGCAGGTCGGCGACAATTTCCAAGTGAAAAACCACAACATGATGAAGTACTATCATGCCTATCAAAAGTTGAAGACGAACTTTCAGGAGGTGTCGGTCGAGCACATCCCACGCGAAGACAACACTCGAGCCGGTCAGTTGGCTAGGTTGGTCGCGACTAAAAAGTCAGGCCATTTGAGAACGATCATTCAGCAAGAGATCGACCACCCTAGTGTCGATGCAGAAGTGGTTGCAAATGTCAATGCCGACCGTGACGATCAGGACGACTCCCAAGATTGGCGAGCCGAAATCAGAGCGTTTCTCATAAATGGAACCACGCCGACCGATCCGACCGAGGCCAAACGGCTAAGAACCCAAGCCAACAGATACGTTGTCATTGCCGGCCAGTTGTACAAACGCGGTTTTTCTACCCCGTTACTCAAGTGCCTAAACTCCGTCGAGGCTGACTACGTGACGAGAGAAGTACACGAGGGTATATGCGGAATGCATTCGGGAGCGAGGACGACCGTCTCCAAACTCTTACGAGCCGGGTACTATTGGCCTACCATGATCACCGATTGCGCAACGTTCGTAAAGAGATGCCAACCAGGTCAGAGACATGGCAACTTGATTCATCAACCGGCCGAGCAGCTACATTGCATTCCTCCAGCATGGTCATTCGCCACTTGGGGGGCCGACATACTCGGACCCTTCCCAGTTGCCAAGGGACAATGCAAATTCCTCATCGTCGTCGTGGATCTATTCACCAAATGGATCGAAGCCGAGCCCCTGGCATGTATCTCGGCTCATCAAGTCCAGAAATTTCTATGGAGGAATATCATCACCCGATTCGGTGTCCCACACACCCTGATGACCGACAACGGCCTTCAATTTACCGACCAGAAATCAACGAGTTCCTAAACGGCCTGGGAATTCAGCACAAGGTCACATCGGTCGAACACCCGCAGACGAACGGTCAGGCCGAGTCGGCTAATAAAGTCATCTTAGCTGAGTTGAAGAAACTCCTTGGAGAAGCAAAGGGGTCATGGGCTGAGCAGTTACCCGAGGTACTATGGGCATACCGATGCACGCCCCAGTCGACTACACAAGAAACTCCTTTTCGCCTAGTCTACGGATCTGACGCCATGATCCCAGTGGAAATTGGGGAACCCTCGTTCCGTCGAGCACACTACGACGAGTCGAACAACGAAGTCGAGCTCCGTGTGAACCTGAACACCGCGGAAGACGTTCGAGACCGAGCACAAGTCGTGGCCGAGGCCACCAAGCAACGTTACAAAAGAAGATTTGACAGCAAGGTGAAGCCTAGAGAATTTCGCGAGGGCGATCTTGTTTGGAGAGCCACAGGCGAGGCAAGGAAAGATCTGAGACATGGAAAACTCGCCCCAAACTGGGACGGTCCCTTCCGAATCCGACACAACTTGAACAACGGAGCGTACAAGCTGGAGCACCTATCGGGAGAACCAATTCCGAGAACCTGGAACTCCTCTCATCTGAAAATGTATTACAGCTGATGTAACAGTACACTCTTTTCCTTGGCCGACTCTTTTTTCCCTAAGGAGGGTTTTGGGTCGGCAAGGTTTTTAACGAGGCACTTCAATAATAAAAGTTTAAAAATTTCATATCGTTTCCAGATTTATTGTATGTTTCAGGCCGAGAACCACGTCGCGCACCGACGCCGAGCAACTCTTGGCCGATCAAAAAAAACAGTGCAATCGAGCCCTACTGGTTTCCCTCCCGAGCACCCTCCTCGGCTAAGGATGTACCTAGGCCGAGCACTACGTCACACACCGACGTCGGGCAACTCTCTGCTGACCACTAAAATGGTGTAATCGAGCCCCATAGGTTTCCCTCCCGAGTATCCTCCTCGGCTAAGGATGTACCTAGGCCGAACACTACGGTACACGCCGACGCCGACTGCTAAAACGAAGCACTGTATGGACACAGGTTTCTCTCCCGAGTAACCTCCTCGGCTAAGGATGCACCTAGACCGAACACTCCCACACCCTGAGATCAAACGCTTTCGGTCCGACTACTCGCACGTTCTGCGTACCAAATTACTCGAAGGCCAAATGCGTTCGGTCCGAGCACTCGCATACTGCATATCAAATTAAATCTAACACGTTCTGACCGAGCACTTTCAGTCCGAGCACGCCCACAAACACACCCTGAGACCAAACGCATTCTGTCCGAGTACTCGCACGCTTCGCGTATCAAATCACTCTGAGACCAAACGCGTTCGGTTCGAACACTCGCGCACCGCATCATTGCTAACACGTCCAAACCGAACACCTACCAAACACTCTCGTACATACCATGATTATAATTAAGGTTGCCTTCTCGGCCTAACATACAACTCGGTATATCATTCACAAACGGAAAGTGAGCAAAACAGTTTTCATTAAGAGTGTGGCTGACCAAATGGCTAATTACAAAAAATTCTTTCAACCGGCACCAATTGCCAAAATAACAAAAGACACTTACGGCCCGGTTACAAAAAAGTAATTAAACCTAACTATTAACAAGCCGAGCCCTCAAACAGCTGCCGAGTCGCCAGGATTACCTCCGTCACCGTCACCGACAACATCAATAATGGGATCTTCCTCCTCGGTTGCCTGGACGGGAGCTCGGGTTGATGTCCCCTGACGAGGGGCCTCGGTATCGGGTTGAGCACCTTGCGGGAACTCGGCGTAGCTCATAAACCTACCCCCCAGGAAGTCTCGGCTAACATCAAATTGGAAGCCGATCGGGACATCACAAAACTGGTAAGCCTGCCTGACAACCTGCTAGAAGCCGGCATCATGTTGTGAGAGAATTTGCTCAGTTGCTTCGGCCTCAAACTTAGCAGCAGCTTCCTTCAACCGAGCAATCTCATTGGCGGAGGCAGAGGCATTGGTCTTCATCCTCTGCACGGCCAACTTCAAATCGTCAGCCTCCCTTCTGTGGGCATCGGCAACCCTCTTCAGCTCTTCGGCCGACTCAGTTAACTTGGCGTTCGTAGCCAACGCCTGCTTCACCGTGCCCTCGGCTTCCTTGAGCCGACCGTAGATCCTCTCCTCCGAAACGGCATGCCGGTTCATGACATGCTTGGCAACGAGAGAGGTCCGAGTATCGAGCTCGCAGAAGAGCTTATACGCGGCCTCGACAGACATGCCCTCCAGGTATTGCAGCCCGCCCCCGGTAACAAGATCCAGGCCGACTAGGTTCTCGGTTTGAACATTAGGAGCAAGGAAGTTCGACCCGGCAACGACAGCGGGGACGGCGAATGTGCCGCAGCCCGATTGCTCCAGGGATAACTGTTTCGAGCGCTTGCTGGAAGAGCTTGGCTCTATGTTATGCTCGGAAGCCCTAACCCGAGAGGTACTTCCCTTCTTCCTGGCATCGGCCACAGGAATGATCACGCGAGCCAAGGAAACCCACTTCACTGGCTTACTCGGACGACAAGTATAATAGAAGAGAAAAGCGAGTGGTCGGGGCGTTAGACTGAGACATAGGCACAAATTTCGAAACGCTTGCATGGCCGCCCAAGCGTTAGAATGCAGTTGGGTTGGCGCCACATTCAAAGCTCGGAGGACTCCCATCTGGAAATCATCAAAGGGCAACTGCATGCTGAGATCCACGAACCAACACATGTAGGCGTAGAAATAGTCGTCCTCCTCGGGACCCGACTCCAAGAACACAAAATTAGTGTTCGGCCTATCGTCTTCGCACGCTTCGGCAAGTAGCGAAATCTCGTCCTCCCCACTCCCAAAACACTTTTCCAGAGACACGAAAGTGTCCAACAGTCCCTGGTCGGATAACTTAGAAAAATATATCCCGACCTCTCCGTCCACCCACTCATACCCGGACACCTCTACTGTGTCGTAGTCAATCTTTGCCTTACCCCGAACACTCGGACGGCCGCGCCTTTGCCCCGGTTATCATCGACCACCTCCAACTCATCCCCACTAGATTCAGCGTGAAGGGTTTTGACATTTGGTCTCGGTTGGCCGACCCGACCGAGACCTCTATCATCGACCTTGGTGGCCCGTGCCAAAGCCATAGCCAAGGTCGTCGGGGGCGACACCTCGACCACCTCATCCCCACTATCCTCTTGTTCGGGGTGATCGGACGGGAACACCACTTCACATTGCAGAGGAGGCAATCTTGAGATCTCGCTTGAATCCGACCCCTTTCCATTCGACGCTGCGCCCGACGCCTCCGACGACGTCCAACTCCTAGCTGAAGAATAACTCATATCCATTTATTATCACAAAATAAAAAATACAAAATTGTACCTTGATTGGTGTGCTCGGATTAATTCCTACGCTCAGAGACCTCGGAGAATTTATAGCAAGTAAATTCTCCAAATGCCCCCCCTATTTATAGGCAAGGTGAAAGGGGGAGGTGAAAAGACGCCCCGCAAGCACGACCGTTCGATCTGGACCATCCAACGATCCAGATTTAGTAACCGTTGGACCCGTAACCGCTAGGGCCAACGTGGCAGGCCACGCCCATAGTGCTCTCGGCGCTGGCTCCCGACGTCTAAGGTCTCGGCATAGACCTACTCCACTTGTGCTCTCGGCTCTCCAATTAAGGTCTCGCCATAGACCTCCTCCAGTCGAAGCCTCGGTATCGACCTACTCCAGTTATGCTCTCGGCTGTCCCACCAAGGCCTCGGCGTAAACCTCTACAGTCACCGAGTCCTCGGTGCTGGTTCTCAGCTTTAAAGGTCTCGGCGTAAACCCCTACAATCACGAGTCCTCGACGACGGCTCAACATTCAAGATTTCGATAGCCCCGACAATCACCGAGCCCTCAGCACTGGTCCGCAACGCTCAAGGTCTCGGCATGGTCCCTCCAGTTAACGCCCCGGCTTAAAACTCAGCCTAGTCCACCGAGGTCTCGGCAAAGACCTAATCAGGCGGGTGCCTCGTTATACCAATCATTATCCATCCTTCTGAATCGACGCAAAATACCTAATACTTTTAGACCGTCTTCGTCCTTGCTATGGTCAACGCTGTGGGGGTTGTATACCGTATGGGACCGAGGCCGACCCGACCGACCAGACCGAAGACCCGAACCCAACATAAACCGAAACCGATACCTGAACACACCGAACACTTGCCAAACAAAAGGGGTCGGTTTGCTCGGCCGATCCCCGGGACTCCATCAGTATAATTATGAAAGGATTAATTTAAGGAATAAGCCGGATTAGCCCCTTAATTTTTCGGGGCCCAGCTCCTAATCACGACCCAATAAGAAACACTATAAATAGACCACCTTCGAGGTATGTAACTAATTTTCAACTACCGCATTTATTACGCCGAGCACTTACATGAGCGTTGGAGTGTCTTTGCAGGCACACCCCCCCTCTCACATCGGACTACCCGGATAGGAACGAGAAGACCGAGACCTAGGATCAAACCCGACATAACAAGGATAATTGAAGTGTGTATCCTAACACAAGAACAACTGTATTTTATTTGCGACCAGATTACATTTGTTGAATTCGAACATTATATAGGCAGTTGCTTAAAAAACAACATTATATAGGCTGTCGGGAAAAAAATGAAATAAACACAAATGATAAGAAGCACTATTTAAGGCCCACCAATTAATACACTCCCTTTCTCTAAATAATTATTCAACATGTCCTTTTTAAACTCTCATTTTTTAACAATAATATAAAATATTAATTAGAGAGTTATATTTTAATTTTTTTTAAGTCAAATAATTAATAATTTATTTTAAATAAATAAATGGATTTTATCATTGTATTTCATTTATTAATCATCCTTATACTAGTATTTTAATTTGTGCAATAGATAAGTTAAATGTTTATTATATATAATTAAAATTTAAAATAAATTATGTATACAAATAAATATTATACATGAATGTATAAATTATATTTAAAATTTAAATAAATAGATATTTTTTAATATATAAATTATATTTTAAATTTTTGATAAATAATTTTAATTGTAGCACGAGATTATTTTGTTTGTTGATAATTTATTTTAAATATTAAAATTTAATTTATAAAAAATTGATAAAAAATCAAATTAGATATGAAGTTAAAAAATTCTTAAAAATTTCATTGTCGAAGAAAAATTCCTAAAAACGTTCTTGGGCGATATAGTCATTCATGTTCGTGTTTTATATATAAAAATTTATGTTAGCTAATTAAATTCTTATTTTCTTTTTTTTTTAACCATATGATATGACAAATTTTGGCTCTATTAGCCTTCAACAGATATATGTTTCGGTATTAGAACATCTCCAATGGAAGATGCTTGTTGAGGTACTTCAATGAAGTTTCAATTACATAAAGCTCTCTATTGAAGAAATCCCACATCACAATGAAAGTTGCTTAAAATTTTTTTCAATTGCTTCAATAAGAATTGTTCCTTACCATTAAAAATCAATATTTTGAACTCAGTGAGGACCACCAAACAATTGTTACCTAATCAAGTCAAAATTATATATATATTTATGAGTTTATTGAAGTTCCTTAGAATTTCTTCCATTGA